TAACATTGGTTCTAAAACATCTTCTTTATAAGCCTGAGTCCAAGTTCTGATAGGTAACTCTGATATTTCTATAGAATTATCATCCAGTATCGATATCTCACCACTAACGAGGTATCTGTTATTATCACTTATTTCATCTATCGTTCCTTTAAAATTCTTGTAACTTGGCAACTAAAAAAATAATTCGGAAATGAAAAAAATCGTGGATTGTTTTGACAAAAAAAACAAAAACCAGAAAATTTCTCCGGGGGGAGAGGCAAGCCATGTTTTTGGGGGGAGCTCCGAAATGTCCAAAAATTTTTAGCAATCCTTACCATTTTAACAGGCTCTTCGCCTTCGATCATACGATATAAATTGGCGACGATTTCTCTGATATCGTAATTTGGTATTTTAGTACTCCATCCTGTGCCAATGCCTTCAGCTCCGTTGACCAAGACAGCTGGTAAAATTGGTATATACCATTCTGGTTCTATTCTCTGGTTGTCATCGTAAAGATTCTTTAATAACGGATCGTCCAATGGGTTGAAAATTAATCTCGTCAACGGGCTGAAACAAAAAAACGTACAATTAAAGATGGCGTCCCAGATGAAACGAGGAGCAAAGGAGCAATCTCATCTTCACAATGTCAAGATTGATTGGAATTTGGTCTTATACCTTGACTGCTACAGGCAATCTTCTTGTATCACATCTTCACAATGTCAAGATATAACTAACTTGGTCTTATACCTTGACTACAATAGCCACCTCTCTTGTATCACATCTTCACAATGAAGTTTGTAATAGCTTGACATTGTGAAGATGTAGTTTGTAATAGCTTGACATTGTGAAGATGTAGTTTGTAATAGCTTGAAATTGTGAAGATGAAGTTTGTAATAGCTTGACATTGTGAAGATGAAGTTTGTAATAGTTTGACATTGTGAAGATGAAGTTAGTAATAGCTTGACATTGTGAAGATGAAGTTTGTAATAGCTTGACATTGTGAAGATGAAGTTTGTAATAGCTTGACATTGTGAAGATGAAGTTTGTAATAGCTTGACATTGTGAAGATGAAGTTAGTAATAGCTTGACATTGTGAAGATGAAGTTTGTAATAGCTTGACATTGTGAAGATGAAGTTTGTAATAGCTTGACATTGTGAAGATGAAGTTTGTAATAGCTTGACATTGTGAAGATGAAGTGTGTAATAGCTTGATATTGTGAAGATGAAGTTTGTAATAGCTTGACATTGTGAAGATGAAGTTTGTAATAGCTTGACATTGTGAAGATGAAGTTTGTAATAGCTTGACATTGTGAAGATGAAGTTTGTGATAGCTTGACATTGTGAAGATGAAGTAAGTAATAGCTTGACATTGTGAAGATACAAGAAAGGTGACTATAACAGTCAAGGTATAAGATGGGAGATCAGGGTATATGTTTTACTTTATTCACTCTTATGGTTCAAAGGGTTAATATTTTGGAACAGTCAGCCAAAGTTTAACCACTCATAAAAAAATAAAAACAAGTCGAACTTACTTGAGGTAAGTAAAAATATAACGAGGGCTGGCAGCGTCTTTACCCCCGTGTAATCTCGTACCAAACTGACCTTGTGGCATTAACATATTTAAATTATTCGAACCAACAAAATTCTGGGCTAAATTTATTATCGTTCCCATCAAAGAAGCCTGCAAAATATTAAAAAAATTATATTATCTGTTTGACCAATCATACTTTAGTCTCAGAAACAGGAATTTTTTAGCTAAGACAATCAGTAATAGTGTTCACAGCTCACTGTCGAAATTTGAGTCTTCAAATCCATGTATGTCTACCTGCTTTTTTTTCAAGTTCTTTGAAACTACTTTTGTTGACCAATCATGCTTTAGTCTCAGAAACAGGAATTTTTTAGCTAAGCCAATCAGTAATAGTGTTCACAGCTCACTGTCGAAATTTGAGCCTTCAAATCCATGTGTCTAGAATTATCCACGTTTGAAAGTTAAAATGAAGAGTCGTCTATAAGCGGTTCCTGCAATTCCAAGAGAAACTTAATAAAAACTCTGCTAACGCTTACCTCACCATGGTGATAGGCAGAAATTTCACCGACGGAACCAGCTAACTGAGCCACTTTGATTTCTTTTGTTATATTTCGTTTAAAACACGTAAATAAAACTTTTCTCTGACCAGGTTTAAGGCCGTCTATGGAGCTGGGAATAGATCGTAAATTATCGACCTCGCTAAACAATATTAACTCTCGATTGATAAAATCGTTGTAAGTTATTCGACTAGTTTCTTTACCGTACAGATAGAGCTGAAATATACAATAACAAAATATTTTTACTGTTAAAATACAGCTCTAGTAAGGACGTAGGCTGAAAATAGGTCAGTTGTCTGAAGATTTAACAAGGTGAAACTCTAAGTAACATGTTTCAGGTTCTGTTTTAATATTTCTATATAGCTTTTGTTTGATTTCTAACCGTGGAATCATTAACATGCACAGTGCTAGCGTACAATTCAATCAAAATTGCTTCGAAATGTCTGTGACATTAGAAAAGTGCCTAATGACATCAAGGTATCAGACAGAGTTCGTAATAGCTTCACATAATGATCTTGTCTCTTTGCATCATGATATAGAAAACATAGACTGGAATAATGAAGAAAGATGACTTATTCAAGGTCACCAGACTTTCACAAACTGACCGAGATTAGAGCCCAACAACCACCATTCTTTCAACATAACTTTACCTCTGGTAGTCCAAGTTCATTTCTTTTCTTTCTGTCTTCCATAAAGTTCTTCAGCCATGTTTTTCTTTCCTCGATTTTCTTTTTACTGAATGCTAAATTAATGGAGGCATCATCCTCGGTTCCCCCGTATCGGAATTTAATTCTGTGTCTGTCGATATCCGTGAAATATTCCTTGGCCTCGTTGGCCGTGCTGGTTCCCAAACCTGGAACAAAATAATTTCAAATTTATTAAGTTGTAAAGAATTTGTTAGTTCGCCATTTTGATTCTTCTAGCTTTTGTATGTGTATCAGGGACACTTATAGCTTCTATTTACACCATTCTGATTTTCTAGTCTTTGTATGTGTATTAGGGACACTTATAGCTTCTATTTATGCCATTCTAATTTCTTAGTTTTTGTATGTGTATCAGGGAAACTTATAGCTTCTATTTACACCATTTTGAATTTTCTAGTCTTTGTATGTGTATCAGGGACACTTATAGCTTCTATTTACGCCATTTTGAATTTTCTAGTCTTTGTATGTGTATCAGGGACACTTATAGCTTCTATTTACGCCATTTTGAATTTTCTAGTTTTTGTATGTGTATTAGGGACACTTATAGCTTCTATTTACGCCATTTTGAATTTTCTAGTTTTTGTATGTGTATTAGGGACACTTATAGCTTCTATTTACGCCATTTTGAATTTTCTAGTTTTTGTATGTGTATTAGGGAAACTTATAGCTTCTATTTACGCCATTTTGAATTTTCTAGTTTTTGTATGTGTATCAGGGAAACTTATAGCTTCTATTTACGCCATTCTAATTTCTTAGTTTTTGTATGTGTATCAGGGAAACTTATAGCTTCTATTTACACCATTTTGAATTTTCTAGTTTTTGTATGTGTATTAGAGAAACTTTTGCTCTAATCTGGAGTAAAATCTCACGGTTGCCTGAACTTCCATGACAAGATTATCGTCGACAGGATTTATAAAATTAAACAAGTTTGATAATTGTCTCTGATAGTTTTATCATCTGTAAGACAGACCGTCATCATCCAATCAGATTCATTTTCCATCAATTACATGATCTTCACGTGATTATCAACATAGTGGAAAACGACCGACTGGAGAATTTTGTCTCCTCGTGTGCCCGCAGTCTGTCGGTGAAACTCTTGACAAGATTCTTATCAGTGACAAAACTCTGCGACCAAAAGACCATTCTTGTCTCCACACACTAACCATTACTACTAATTTGTTTTGGGATAAAACTAACACCATCGTAAAACTTTGATTACTGGTATCAAAAAGTTAGCTTATGGTCCTCAGCCCGTTCAGGAGTAAAGCTAAGATTCCATATACGTGTCATGCAGATCCGTCATGCGTCATCCCTCATACGTTAAATGTATCGAAATGGTTGGTTTAAGAGGGTATGATTCAATATATGCAGAAGCGGTATCCGTCAAATGGTCTCCGTTAGGTGTAGCGATTTTTGACGCATCCAGACGCCTTTCCGTGCGGAGATCTCCCAAATGTGATGTATTTTGTGGGGATTGCCAGTCTTTTTTATGCACCAAAGCATCCATCTGTCTAGAAGTCTGTACGTCAAAAGAAAAATAACGCATACGTTTAACACACATTTGGAATCATATTTGACGATCCGAAAGGGCCATTTATGTCCGCATGACGCGTATATGGAATCTTAGCTTTAGATAGCCACAAAGAATTTTTGAAGAGCAAATTTCAAACCAGGATTTTTCCGCAGTAAAATAATAATAATAATAATAATAACCAAAAATAAAAACCTTTGTAGTATTTGACTTTATAAGTGTGAAAGTTTGGCGTTTCTTTCTGCCATTCTTCGAATTCTGGTATACTGTAGAACGCTTGTGAGAACTTCCCTTTAAAAACCTACAATATATAAACATAATTCATTTATTCAACATAGCCAAATGAAATGAATGGAGTTTTACGTTCTACTTTTCTGCACCATGTGGACTAATGAAGATGGGCAACGCCATGCAGTGTACAATGAGGGAAATTTTGCCAAGACAACAGAACTAGTGGTAAAAAGAAAAGTACCTTGACAATTGGTGTAATAAATTGTTCCACTACGTTGTATTTAAGTAGGTTGGGCCAGAAGTGATGTATAAAATTAACGAGGAGGCCTTTAATATGAGAGCCATCGTGGTCCTGATCTGTCATTATCATCAGTTTACCGTATCGTAAAGTTTTTAAATCTTCGGGGTCATTATATTTATGTTTAAACTGTAGACCCATTATCTTTACAATATTGTTAATTTCTGTATTATCCATGATCTACAAGATAAATGAAAGAAGTGGGGAATGAGACAAAATTTGAAATCATCATAAAATTATCCAAAATCTACAAATAAGGTTGGTGATTTAGACGTATTTGCCAGATGTCTGTGGTTCATGTAATTCCACTAAAACTAACCGCTTTATGAGGTCACTATTGCAAAAGAAAGTCTGTCTGTAGCATACAGGGCCTCGGTTTATCGTCCCATCTGAACAACTAGACGTTTTTTCCATGTCAGCCTCTCTTACCTACATCACTGACAGGTATTATCTCAACCTATGCCGGGATTGAACCCTGGGCCTTCAGGTTAGCGAGCAAGCTTTTAACTCACTGAGCCACCACTGGCTATAACCTCCAAGCCAGGATACGATGATGAATATCTCAACCTATGCTGGGCTTGAACTCTGGACCTTCAGGTTAGCAAGCAAGCATCTAACTCACTGAGCCACCGTGGCTCTCTCAACTATCGAAAACAACGTACCTGTTTATGTGAAGCTTCACGAACGTTGAGAAGTTTACCTCGTAATGGGAACACTCCAAATTTATCACGTCCAATAACACCTAAACCTGCCACAGCTAAAGATTTAGCTGAATCTCCCTCCGTTAGAATCAACGTACATGACTGAGAGTTTCTCGTTCCGGCATTGTTAGCATCGTCTAATTTCGGTATTCCTTTTAATTTAGAGAGTTTGGCGGCTCCTGTTTTTTTGTTGAGTTGAGTTTGAGCCTTGAATTTCATCCAACTTAGAATACTTTCTACAATTCCACATTTACTGGCCTGAAGTGAAACGAAATAAGAGTTTTTAATCATGCTTTTACTGTACCAGAATTGGCTAATGAAGACAAGCAACACCATGCAGTGTACAATGATGGAAAGTAGGAGAAGAAATGATGTTTTGCATCAAGCTTTTCTGTAGGCTACTTGATAAGGCTGATGAATATATGCAGTGGGCAATAAGGTAAAGAAAGATGAAATGAAACGGTGTTTTGCATCAAGCTTTTCTACAACTTATTGATCTATTAAAGATGGCTGATGCCATGCAGTGTACAATGAGGGAATATGGCCAAGATAGCACATTAGACTACTCTTTTTTTTATTTCCAACAATTAAGGCTCTTCAAAGTGCACAGCCAGCTTTATTAATTTTAAAGACAGGTTTTCTCTAACTATAAGGGGAATAACTCTTTTTAAGAAAAGCCAAAACCAGACCACAATATCACCCTAACTACCTGTTTCATAAAATCTTCTGATAAAGTAAATTTTGAGCCGGAACTCTTGGCCTGTATCTTAATATGGAATTCAGATTTTCACATGTACGAGGGATAAATTACTCTAACTATAAGGGGAATAACTCTTTTTAAGAAAAGCCAAAGCCAAAACCAGACCACAATATCACACTACCTACCTGTTTCATAAAATCTTCTGATAAAGTAACTTTTGAGCCGAAACTCTTGGCTTGTAGGGTCATATTTTCTTTCGTTTGAGAGTCGAAGGTGGGATTCTCAATCAAACAGTTCACAAATACCCACAGATGGTTTTTAATTTGAAACGGCTTAATCTTGATTCCACCCTTATCCCTTTTCGAAACGATTTCTAATAATTTCTTCACAATTTGATCCGCTACAACATCTACGTGACGACCACCCTGAAAATAAAAAAAAAATAATGAAAAATGAAATTTGTTGACTGATACATGTTTGATTATTTTGAGGGATGGGGAAGGGGAAGGGGAAACCAGGTTGAAAAATCTGAAGGTATTATCTCAATCTATGCTGGGATTGAACCCTGGACATTCAGGTTAGCTAGCAAGCATCTAACTCACTGACAGAGGGAAACCAGGTTGAAAAATCTGAAGGTATTATCTCAACCTATGCTAGGCTTGAACCCTGGACCTTCAGGTTAGTGAGCAAGCATCTAACTCACTGACAGGGGGAAACCAGGTTGAAAAATCTGAAGGTATTATCTCAACCTATGCTAGGCTTGAACCCTGGACCTTCAGGTTAGTGAGCAAGTGTCTATCTCACTGACAGGGGGAAACTGGGTTGAAAAATCTGAAGGTATTATCTTGACCTATGCTAGGATTGAATCCTGGACCTTCAGGTTAGTGAGCAAGCTTCTAACTCTCTGACAGGGGAAAACTGGGTTGAAAAATCTGAAGGTATTATCTTGACCTATGCTAGGATTGAATCCTGGACCTTCAGGTTAGCGAGCAAGCTTCTAACTCACTGAGCCACCTTCCCTCTTTACTACAACAAAAGTATAAAAATAAGAAATTTAAACCCTGACACGTACCTTTGTGGTAGCTATACTGTTAACGAAACTAGCTTGTTGAAAACCTTTATCACTAAGGGTAACAGCTACCTGCCATCTTGGATTACTATCGTAATAAACAACTTTTAACGGCTGATCATTCTCATCGTATTTATCTTTCAAAAATAAGTTAATATAGTCTCGGAAATTTTTCACCTGCAAATAAAATAGTATTTGGTTAACTAACTGTCCTGATGAGGATTGTGTATCTGAAACATGTCAGCAGTATGAGATGAACTCTAGTCAATTAGCTAACATTAAGTCATATATTAGAAAGTCAACCTCCATTTCTAAAACTAGCTGTCCTGATGAGGATTGTGTATCTGAAACATGTCAGCATTATGAAATTAGCTGTAGTCAATTAGCTAACATTAAGTCCCATTTCTAAACTAGCTGTCCTGATGAGGATGGTGTATCTGAAACACGTGTTTAAAGGAACAGGTTTGCCATCTGTTTGACCAATCATACTTTAGTCTCAGAAACAGGAATTTTTTAGCTAAGCTAATCAGTAATAGTGTTCACAGCTCACTGTCAAAATTTGAGTCTGAAAGGAACAGGTTTGCCATCTGTTTAACCAATCATACCTTAATCTCAGAAACAGGAATTTTTTAGCTAAACCAATCAGTAATAGTGTTCACAGCTCACTGTCAAAATTTAAGCCTTCAAATCCAAGTGTGTCCAGAATGTGTTTCCCTTAGAGAGGATCTAAATTTCTATTTTCACAAAATTTACAAATCAAAATTTATCAAAATTATATATTTGAAGGTAAATTTAAATTGATAAGCCAAAACTAAAATTTGGTGGGATAAATTCTAATCAAATTGTTCAATCTAAATTAAACGATGGCACTATACACAAAAATAGTGTACCGGTATTCGTTTGAGTATTACAAAATAATTATTACTTACCGGCAACTTTTTCCCATTTAAAATGACCCTGACACCTTTCGATGATGCCGCGATATCGTACGCCCTACGTTTCATAATGTCAATAATATCATCGTCTAATTCTTCCATATGAAATTTAGACAGGTCTGGTGAAAATGTGACGCAGGTAAAATCTTCCCCGACAGAATCCCTGATGGTGGGTTCCTTCGTTAAGCTCATATTTTTTTGCCAACTCTGAAAAAAAAATTGAAAGTCATGCAGTGTGCAATGAGGGAAATTTTTGCCAGAACAGTAGCATTAACCTATTCTTTTGATTTCCAACTGTCGAGGGATCTTTAACTTGCATAGCCTGAGGACAATAAAGATAGTAGTTATGTGGACTCTCGTGTCTTGCTTTTGCTCCTGACAATGCTATGCAGTGTGTAATGAGGGAAATTTTGTCCCAGGACAGCAGCATTTGCATTTTTTTTTTTCAATGAACAAGGGATCTTTAACATGTACTATCTTTAGACAATTATGAAACCAAATAACTCTCCTAATGAAATGAAACAGAGTTTTATGTCCAACTCTTCTGCATCATGTGGGCTATTAAAGATGGATAACCCCATGCAGTGTGCAATGAGGGAAATTTTGCCAGGGCAGTTACATTAGCACTGCATTTTTTTATTTCCAACTATTGAAAGATCTTTAACATTTACGACTCAAGGCTTTTTCCATGTCAGCTTCTCTGAAAAATCCGAAGGTATTAACTTGAGCTATGCTAGTATTGAATCCTGGCCACGTATTCTCAAAATGATCTTAGAGCTAGGACATCCTAGAATCAATGTTAGAAGATAAAAACTTAGAACAACCTAGCTCTAAGATGGTTTCGAGAATACATGGCCAGGACCTTTAGGATAGCGAGCAAGCGTTTATCGCACTGAGTAACTGAACCAGGTACAAGACAAATGGACTTTGATAGGTTGAAGTCCAAATCGAGACTAAATGAATGGTTTAAAGGATCTCACCTGACGAAAACTTCGTTTATATTCACAAGAAGAAGTTTCTACAGTAAATTTAGTACTGAAAATATTGCACAATTTAGCTCCATAACCATTTCGTCCCCCTGGAGAGAAAATTATTATAATGAGACAACTGATCTATTTCAGTCTGTATCCCTACTATAGAAAAATTAAAACAGAACCTGAAACATGTTGTTACTCAGAGTTTCACACTAAGCGATCTTTAGACAACTGATCTATTTCAGCCTGCGTCTCTACTATAGAAAAATTAAAACAGAACCTGAAACATGTTGTTACTCAGAGTTTCACGCTATGAGATCTTTAGACAACTGATCTATTTCAGTCTGTGTATTTGTTTTTTCCCAATAACTGAATTTTAAAAATAAGTTTTTGACTTACCAGTAACTTTCTTCTCAAAGTCATTATAATTACTGGAAGTTAAAAGATGACCAAATATCATGGTAGGTACGTACATTTTCTCTTCTTTATGTTCAACTACAGGTATACCTTTACCATTATTCCATACCGAGATTTGATTGTGAACTCTATAAAATACAATATACATAGTTATAGGGGTTGGGCTGAGTCCCAGAAACACTGGCTGAGTGACTATACCTTTACCGTTATTCCACACTGATATCTGATTGTGAACTCTATAAAATACAATATACATAGCTATAGGGGTTGGTCTGAGTCCCAGAAACACTGGTCAAAACAAGAATATACTTCTATGACACAAAAATTACCCATGAAATTAAGAATTTTGCCATGTTTTCAATTTAGTATTTACAGGATTTCTCAAGTAAATTATTTTGATTATTAATTGATTATTGATCTGTAGTGTGCATAATGATCTGAATTTGGTAATCAATACCCAGCCCTATTCGTGTGTAATCTTTATGTAAGAAGTTTCATATGAGATAATAAAATAATCTTACTTGTCAATGGTGATTTTAATTGTGTTCATTTTCTCATCTCTCTGTTTATTATCAGCGGCATTTACTAGAAAATATAATATAATATCATTTAGAACGACAGAACCAAACATAGTTCTTCAATATATTCAAATTATATTTAATTTTACGTCTTTCTTTTCTGCATTGAGGGAAATTTCACCAAAACAATAACAGTGTCATTGGCCTACACTTCTGCATGTTTTTTGACTCTGAGGATAGGCAATGCCATGCAGTGTTTAACATCCTACTTTTCTGCACCATGTGGGATAATGAAGACAGACAATGCCATGCAGTGTGCAATGAGGGAAATTTTTTAAAAAAAAAGTGTCATTGACCTATTCTTCTGCATCTTTTTTGGCTAATGAAGACAGGCAATGCCATGCAGTGTACAATGAGAGAAATTTTGCCAAGAAAGCAGCACCAACATGTTTCAGGATCAAATGAAATGAAATGAATGGAGTTTTACATCCTACTTTTCTGTACCTAATTAGGCTAATGAAGATGGGCAATGCCATGCAGTGTGCAATGAGGGAAATTTTGCCAGGACAACAGTATGAACTGTTTTCGATTTCCAACTGTAACAAGATATTGTACCTTGTAGAATATGCAATTAAGTGCAAGCAAAACAAGACAATACAAAAATTTAAGAATTGTATTTGTAAAATCTTACCAAGAATTTCGTCAAATATTTTATATAGACCAGGTACAAACGTCACATCTTTAGTTATCATTAATTCCTTCTCTTCATCATAAACCCACATCGGCTACAAAATATTTATAGATTATATAAGTAGTGCTGGAAACGTTATTTCTTACAAATATGACATATGGCAACTACACTTAGTTTTTGGATTATAAAGAGGTTTTCTAAATTGTTTATGTGTATCAGGGACACTGATAGCATCAATTTACACCATTCTAATTTTCAATCAGATGTCTGTGGTTCTTGTTAAAGGGATTGTAAAGAGGTTTTCTAAATTTTTTATGTATATCAGGGACACTGATAACATCAATTTACATCATTCCAATTTTCAATCAGATGTCTGTGGTTCTTGTTAAAGGGATTGTAAAGAAGTTTTCTAAATCTTTTATGTGTATCAAAGACACTGATAACATCAATTTACACCATTCTAATTTTCAATCAGACGTCTGTGGACCTTGTTAAAGAGATTGTAAAGAAGTTTTCTAAATTTTTTATGTGTATCAAAGACACTGATAACATCAATTTACACCATTCTAATTTTCAATCAGACGTCTGTGGACCTTGTTAAAGAGATTGTAAAGAGGTTTTCTAAATTTTTTATGTGTATCAAAGACACTGATAACATCAATTTACATCATTCTAATTTTCAATCAGACGTCTGTGGACCTTGTTAAAGAGATTGTAAAGAAGTTTTCTAAATTTTTTATGTGTATCAGGGACACTGATAACATCAATTTACACCATTCTAATTTTCAATCAGATGTCTGTGGTTCCTGCAATTCCACTAAAACAAAGCCTGTTTTAATTACATCACTATCGCAAAAGCGTCACAAATACCTGGCGCTGAAGAGAGCAGGAATTTGATTGGCTGACAGTGTTATCAAACAGACAAACGTTCAAGAGGCTTATCTGTAAACCCTAAATGAAGTGGCTATATTAAAAATAAAAGCTAATAAAAAATGGAAAATGAAATGGAGTTTTACGTCCTACTTTTCTGCACCATGTGGGTTAATGAAGACGGTCAACGTCATGCAGTGTACAATGGGGGAAATTTTGCCAGGACCGCAGCATTAGTCTGTTCTTTTCAGATTCAATAAAAAACGGAATGAAAACATTTGACAAATAGTTTTTTCTGTCTTACCTGCGTTAATTTCTCTACAGAACCAATATAAGTATCAGGACGCAGTAAAATATGTTCCAACTGGGATTTCTTCTGATAAATTCTTTCCACGGACAATCTTTTATTAGATTTTTTATCCCCTCCTCCCTTTTCAACCTCCACCTCCATTTCCTGTAAAACAAAACATCAACATTTAGTAACTTGATTAAGTTGCCGTAGGGTTGAGACTTCCCATGGTGGCATATTCCGCCTGAAAGGAGATCTCATAATCTGTCATCGAGACAATTCAGGAGAGCAACCATGGCCGGAAGTCATGCTTACTTGATGAAGTTTTCCAAGTGTAACAAAAAAACCGGGCTTCCAGAGATAATTTGAATGAACCTGAAGACATGGTAGTAGCCTGAGAGTAGAGAAGCTTTGAAAGTTTTTGTTAACCTTTTTGTGAAATGACAAAAAAAATTTCTGTCAAAAACCAGTAAGATGGAAAATAGAGATTCTGGTAAAAAAAAGCAATGTAAAGACAGGAAATGCAGTGTGACCGAATTTGATCTGAATTTGGTAGTGTGCAATGAGGAAAATTTTGCAAGGACAGCCATATTGCCATTGGCCTTAAGCGATATTTAACATACACAGCCTGTAGTACCCAGGGCCTCGGTTTATTGTCCCATCTGAACGACTAGACGCTTTTGGATTTGGAAAGTCATAAACATTCATGCTTACAGTATCCATCTTGCTTAATTTTCCACTTTTGCTTGAAGCTGCTTTAAAAACTGGGGTATTGATTGAAAATGTTCTTGAAAAGTCGGACAAATTCAGAATATTTTTTAACTTTTTTGTCAATGACAAAGAAAGGTTTTGGCTTGGTAAATTCCTGCATCCAAAATTGAATTGCAGTTTTACTACAGATAATGTCGCCAGATTGCCAGCTGGAAACGATGGCTATTGAAATCTAAATCAAAGGAATCCATTCATGGTATTTTGTTTTAATTCAATAATTTGGAAAATGGATGAATTCTGGTTTTTCGAAGATACATAACAGTAAAACGTGAGCCAGTTAGCGCCATATTTACACCGGAAGTCACGTGATATGTCCGAAATGATAATAAAAATTTTACTTGCCTCCAAATCGGAATCCATTGTAATTCAAAAGGAAACAACTAAGAAATCTTGACTTCGTTTCCTGAAAGAAATGGGTTTCATGAATAATTTCCAAGACTTTGATGTTATGCAAGACAAAGGCAGACACAGAAATCTCTCCAGCCGACAAACCAAAAAGAAAACCTTTCAGTTTCGCCGTTCGGCTTCGCATTGTCATTTTTTTTATTTGAGCGCTCATCGACTACAAATTATCGTATGCCATTTCATTTTCTAAAAACTAAAAGCCGACATTTTGAAAATACAGCACTCGAGATGAAATGTAGAAACGTACCTTTTGAGAAGATCTTGCGGTCTTTCTTTTCCACCAACTTCAAATATCGACTGTCTGATTTTCATTGACCGCCATTTAATTTTCGGGAACTGAAATATAACGGTTTTGTGATTGGTTAAAAATATTAGAAAGAATCTCGAACAACCAATCAAATTCCTTCTATCAATTTCACCGACATTAACTAGCCGCACGACTTTACCGTTGTAATAATATTGTCTATTTTGTATCAGACACAAAATTTTCAGTTTTGTGAGAAATTTTTGAGGCAAACTTCTGAATAAAATTCTAAAAAGCCTATTTTTTCACAATTATAAATTCGATGATTTGAAAACTATAAAAAATAACCGAAAAAATAAGTATTGGTCGAGTAGTCTCAGAATTCGAGATGAATCGTCTTAAAATTGACCCGATTAGTCTTGGTCCGAAATGTCCTAATTCAGAACTGATTCACAGATTTGGCTGAAATTTGCAGGCAGTTTGGTTCATGGAAGTCTTCTGAGAAATGGAATCATAAACAGAAATCTGGTACCAAGTGAAAAATGGCAGGATCGGCTTTGAAACGTTTGATGGCGGAGTACAAACGTAAGTTTCAAAAGCAAGGAGGGATATCCTAAAATTTCAAAACAATAACTTAAAACCATAAAAAAAACCCCAAAACACGGAACCAAAAAAACACTGATCTCACTGAAAAATATGTGCGAAATTAGTAGCAATATAAGTATCTTTTTACTTTACCTAAAGTTTTCTGGGCTCTAGGCGTATTCTTGAGGCTTCTCTGACTAAGAACATTGTAAATCCAACATGTTTTCATGTGATTTCTGCTATTTGTAGGCCTAATGGCCACTTCACCAGCTAAACACCCAATAGCCTAATTATGTGGCCAGTGGAATGGCTGCTAATGTTGTAATGCTCACCTGGCCTCACGACATCGTTCTTTTTTTACTTTTCAGAATTGACTTTGAATCCACCAGAAGGAATCATAGCAGGACCTGTCAATGAGGAAAATTTTTTTGAATGGGAGGCTTTAATCATGTTCGTATAATTTTACTTCGATTTTATTTTTCATGTTTTTCATTTTGAGTGTCTTTCTATTTTGATTCAGTGTGTTTTTTTAATTGGGTTTCCTTTATTCAATTTTCAATTTTCAGTCAGATGTCTGTGGTTCTTGTAATTCCACTAAAACTAAGTGTTTAATGACGTCACTATCACAAAGGCGTTGGATATTTTTAGCAGATTTTTCAATAGTGATGTTATAAAACAATACAGCATTTCTTTAATTACAGGAACCACAGACGTCTGATTGAAAATTAGAATGATGTAAATTGATGTTATCAGTGTCTCTGATACCCATAAAAAATATAGAAAACCTCTTTACAATCTCTTTAACAAGAACCACAGACGTCTGATTGAAAATTAGAATGATGTAAATTGATGCTATCAGTGTCCCTGATACACATAAACAATATAGAAAACCTCTTTACAATCTCTTTAACAAGAACCACAGACATCTGATTGAAAATTAGAATGATGTAAATTGATGCTATCAGTGTCTCTGATACACATAAAAAATATAGAAAACCTCTTTACAATCTCTTTAACAAGAACCACAGACGTCTGATTGAAAATTAGAATGGTGTAAATTGAAGCTATCAGTGTCCCTGATATACATAAAAAATATAGAAAACCTCTTTACAATCTCTTTAACAAGAACCACAGACATCTGATTGAAAATTAGAATGATGTAAATTGAAGCTATCAGTGTCTCTGATACACATAAAAAATTTAGAAAACCTCTTTACAATCTCTTTAACAAGAACCACAGACGTCTGATTGAAAATTAGAATGGTGTAAATTGATGCTATCAGTGTCCCTGATACACATAAAAAATTTAGAAAACCTCTTTACAATCTCTTTAACAAGAACCACAGACGTCTGATTGAAAGTTAGAATGATGTAAATTGAAGCTATCAGTGTCCCTGATATACATAAAAAAAAATTAGAAAACCTTTTACAATTCATTTAAATATTAATCAAAATTTTTTTAATTCTAGGGGTCCAGAAGGGACGTGTTTTGAGGGGGGGATATTCCCAGCCAGACTTACTTTCCCCTCCGATTACCCTCTCAGCCCCCCGAAGATGAAATTTACATGCGAAATCTTCCACCCTAACAGTAAGAAAAATTTATTATTTCTATAGATGTTTTTTCTATATATGGCAGAGTCTCAAACGTAGATAATTCTAGACACACATGTATTTGAAGGCTCAAATTTTGACGGTGAGCTGTGAACACTATTACTGATAGGCTAGGCTAAAAAAATTCCCGTTTCTGAGACTAAAGTATGATTGGACAAACAGATGACGAACCTATCTCTTTATCTTTATCAATTTTATTAAAATGAGTATACCCGTTCTATTTTTAGTTTATCCCGATGGTAGAGTCTGTATATCGATATTACACGCTCCCGGAGATGATCCCATGGGTTACGAAACTAGCGCAGAAAGATGGAGTCCAGTTCAAAGTGTAGAAAAAATATTATTATCTGTTGTCAGCATGTTGGCAGGTATGTTTCGCTGAGTAAAATTTTGAGTAAAATCTGATGTGTGCCCGCGGTTCAACAACAAGATTATTGGTTGTCGACAGGATTTATAATATCAAACAAGTTTGATAATTGTCTCTGATAGTTTTATCATTTGTAAGACAGACTGTCATCATCCAATCAGAATCATTTTCCTTTCAATTACATGATCTTCACGTGATTATCGACATGGTGGAAATCAGCGACTGGATATTTTTTTGTCTAGCTGAAATTTGATTGACTGGAGGTGTCAACAAATGGATGAATGTGTAAGAGGGCTGTCTATAGACCCTAACTGAAGTGACTATATTAAAAATAAAAGCTAATAAAAAACGGAACGAAAGTTTGGTCTAAATCTGAATTAAACTGCCATACAAGTTTCTGAATACCTGTCTTTAATTTTAGAACCTAATGATGAAAGTGCCGCCAATGTGGATGCTGCGAAAACTTGGAGAGAAGATAAGACAAAATTCCAGGAAGTTGCAGAAAGGACAGTTCGAAAATCTCTAGGGTTATAAACTTGCAAACTGACTTATTTTTTTTTTTTCGGGGGTTATTACACTAGTCATCTTTAATCTAACAATATTTTTTCTTGAATCGTGTTCTGTGGAATTTTGACACAATAACATTAAAAGTTGGCAAAATTTAATTTAACTAATTATGGTTTTTTTTTTTTTTTTTTTGGAGGGTTACTTCACTTGCCATCCATGATCTTACAAGATTCTTTCTTAAATCATGTTCTGTAGAAACTTTACCCAATAGCATCAAAAGTTGGCAAAATTAGTTTTTTTTTTTTTTTTCGAAGGGGGTTATTACACTTGCCATCCATGATCTTACAATATTCTCCTACAATTTGTGTTCTGTGGTATCAATAGCTAGGCTAACCAATCAAAACACTGTTAAAAGAAGACATATATAACTATAAATATCCCATAATTATTCACATATAGTATTGACGAGTGAATCTGATTGGTTGAATACTAAATGACCTAGAACACAAGATGCATACATTTTTGTCAGATCGTGGATGGAAAGTAGAGTACCCACAGAAAAAACATGTAACAAAATACAGATTTACAGTTTAATCAAATTGCTAATATATGTTTCCTTCACGAATTGGATCAAAATTCTACAGAACACAATCCAGCGAAGAATGTTGTCGGATCAGCGATGGGAAGTGGAGTCACATGCAGAGAAAGCATGAAACATAACATCCACATTTGCATTTAAATCAAGTACAGGGGCCTTATTCTCAAACACTTAACTTAAGATGATTTTAGTATTCCAGTCATCTAATTGGTCAATCACTAACATGGATTTTAAATTTAATTTTATTATCCAATCAGATTACTGTATTTAATAACTTAAGATGATTTTAGTGTTCCAGTCATCTGATTGGTCAATCACTAACATCGATTCTAAATTTAGTTTTATCATCCAATCAGATTACTGTATTTCTTAAAATCTGGATTCTATCTAAATTAAGTTTTTAAGAAAAGGCCTAGTTTGGTTTGTAACCGTGCATTTTGTTGTATATTTTATGTATGTATATATTTAACTATAATATATAAACTTATTAACTGTTCCTGATATTAGTATTTGGCCTACAAACTGACCCTGAACTATATCTGTGACACCCTATAGCACCCACACCCATTAGTCGACCCGTACCCCAAAAGGAGGTTACCCGGAACGCCGCCCCTATTACAAGGTAACCAATGTGAAGTGTGCAATGGGCGAAATTGTGCCAATCCTTGAAAGCCCGTGGCCTTGAAAGACACCCCCACCCCCTCTGGACCAATATACAAACTTATTGACTGTTCCTGTAGAGGTTTTGTTTGAAAATCAAATTTTCACACACTAACCTAAATTAGAACCCACAACCACCATTAGTATAACGTAACCACTGTGAAGTGAAATTTTGTCAACTCCTGCAGCAGACCAGACCCTGGCCTCGAGGGACACATCCCATATTTGACCCCCTCCCTCTCCCCTTGGAGAATTTTCAATTCGATATGTCACGGGAATTTTTCGGGGAGAGGCTGTAACATTCTTGCCTGTAATTAAAACCAATGACGTCATGTATAGGGCAATATCAACACGTACAAAGATAGGCCTAGTAGCCTAACTAAAAAAAAAAGGCAATGTACAACCGTCTTTCAAAGGCATCCGAGATCTCATCCTCAAAGACAACCATGCCCCGATTCAGTGGCTCCAAGATGCTCGGGGCCCGTGGACTCAGGTGGGTAGGGGTCCGTGGACTTGGTTCCACCATGGTTCAACCAGTCCCTATGGTAGTTCAGCCACTGCCCCAATCGTTGTTAAGAACTCTTTTATGACGTCAACAATGGGAAAAAGTCGTCCTTAGGCCTAAGCGGAGAAAATTGACTGGTAGAAGATGGCGCTAAATGGCGGATCCAGTAGCGAATTGGACATGGAAACGGAGGAACAGAGCGATGATTCTGCCATGCAAAAGAAATTCAGTATGCAGACCTGTAACGTCCTCGCAGAGCTCAGACGTACGGGAGATTTTTGTGACGCAGTCATCAAAGTACAAAGCCGAAGCTTTCCAATTCATAGGAATATTTTATCCGCGTGTAGTCCGTATTTCAGAGCTTTATTTAAATATCAACATTTATCCAATGGTCGAATTGAGGTGACCATTCCCGGCGTATCGTCTGAAATCATGAACGAACTTATAGAATATGCGTATACTCGAGATATCGAAATAGATTCCGAGAACGTTGAAGAACTCTTACCAGCAGCCGATCAGTTCCTCGTCTCTGGGCTAGTCAAATCCTGCTGCGATTTTCTAGCGAATCAGATCGTCCCAGAGAACTGCATTGGCATCAGAAAATTTGCTAAAACGTATTTTTGCAACTCTCTGGAACGGACGGCCTTGAGGTACATTCTTCAGAATTTCACCACAGTTCACAAAACAAGTACGGAATTCCTGCAACTCGGTGTGGAAGAACTCAATGAGATTTTGAGCTCCGATGATCTGAACGTCAAAAACGAAGAACTGGTCTTCGATGCCGTTATACATTGGACGGACCACGATCCGGAGAAACGGAGATGCCACATGGCGGAGATCTTGAAAACTATACGTTTAGGTCTTCTTACTACGGAATATTTCATCCAAAAAGTGAAATCGCATCCTTACGTGAAAGAAAGCGCGGAATGTAAACCAATTATCATCGAAACGTTAAAGTTTCTCTACGATTTGGATATGGACGAAGAGAAAGAGGTTGATTTAAATCACCCCCTGGCCAAACCAAGAGTTCCTCACGAAATTCTGTTCGTCATTGGAGGTTGGAGCGGCGGTTCACCCACCACGATGATGGAATCGTACGACACTAGAGCAGATCGGTGGATAGTCTGTGAATACGCTGACAAAGGTAGGTTTTTTATATAGGGATTGTAAAGAGATTTTCATGTGTATCAGGGACACTGATAGCATCAATTTACACCATTCTTATTGCAGGATCCACAGACGTCTGATTGAAAATTAGAATGATATAAATTGATGCTATCAGTGTCCCTGATACACATAAAAAATTCTGAAAAACTTCTTTACAATCTCTTTAACATTATCAAATATTTTCTGTTCGTAGAGGCGAGGGCCTACCATGGAACGGTAGCCTGTGAAAAACGAGTTTATGTTATTGGGGGATTCGATGGAGCAGAATATTTCAACAGTGTTCGATGTTTTAACCCAATCACCAAAAAATGGAGCGAAGTCTCTCCGATGAATTGCAAAAGGTAATTATTTCTTTTCAAACTAGATTGGACCAGGCTTCACTTTATCTAAATAGCTTCGTATGATGAATTCAACCAATCAAAACCAAAATGCCAAGTCAATGCCAAGAGGTTTGGTCAAGGATCAGCTGGATCCTTGTGAACCTAAGTTGTTATCCTTGTAAAATCAATACCAAGAGGTTTTGTCAAGGATCAGCTGGTAGAAAGGATCCTTGTGAACCTAAGTTGTTATCCTTGTAAAATCATTACCAAGAGGTTTGACCAAGAACCAGCTGGTAGAAAGAATCCTTGTGAACCTAAGTTGTTATCCTTGTAAAATCAATACCAAGAGGTTCGGTCAAGGACCAGCTGGTAGAAAGGATCCTTGTGAACCTAAGTTGTCATCCTTAAAAAAATCCCTCTTTCTTTGTTATTGGCAGATGTTACGTAAGTGTTGCTGTTTTGAAGTCGCAGATTTACGCCATGGGGGGATACGATGGCCATTTTCGTCAAAATACAGCGGAGAAGTACACGAGAAGAAAAAATCAATGGAGTTTAATACAACCAATGAATGTCCAAAGAAGCGACGCTAGTGCCACAAGTTTAGATGGTAAGAACAAATTATCAGTCTTGGGACGAAGACGGAAAGAAGCGACCTTCATACACCGACCAATTTTAAACCCATGACAACCATTGTTCAACGT